AATCAGCACCTGGGGGTTCGGGGGGAGACACAGCCGGCTCCCCTCTCCCCGCAGCGAGCCTCTTAGCCTCTCTCGCTGCTTGTCCTTTCCCTCCTCCAATTCCTTCCAGGTCAGAGGCCGGGGCGGGACGTCAGCGGAGGCCGAGGCCAGGAGAGGGGCAGGCAGGGACGCGGGAGCCCTGGGAGGGCCCCACGGAGCTGTGCGCAGAGATGGGGGGGCCGGTAGCGCCTCCCAGGCTGGGGGCTCACCAAGTCCCATCTCCCCAAACCCTCAGGCTCAGGGGAGCCGGGGCGAGCGCTGGGCACACACACTCCTGTGCAGAGACATTCTGCGGAATCTTAATCCACCGCAGCCCTTGCGGGGGACCGGACAGCCGCGCCTCCTCTGCCCTCCGCCTCCGGCTTCTCGCCCCCAGCCCCCTCTCCGGTCCCGGCTCTGGGAGCACTCTGTACACCGGCCGGGCGCGGGGACAGGCGGGCACAGGCCTCCCGCCTCCCGCCGGCCGCCTGCCCTCGGAAGCCCGGACGGCTCTCTGGCTCTCGCCCGGCCCAGGAGGGACGGGGGTGGCTCCGGCAGGTGGCGCCACCGGGAGGGGCCTGGTGTCAGGGAGCCGCACATTTGGGCCGTGGGAGGGACCGACCAGGAGTTTCGCCCCTCCCAGACCGGCTCCGCAGGCCCGGCCCAGGAGGGAGCCTGGGGAAGGAGGGAGCCGGCCGCCCACGGGCTGCCTGTCAGCTGTCCCCCACGTCGGCAGAGAGGAGAGAAGGTGTGCGCGCTGCCCGCAGCCAGACCGGCCGGCCCGGGGACTACACAGCCAGCAGCCGCTCCCCGGCAGCCAGGGGGCACCCGGCAGGGGAACGGGGCATGGCTGGAGCGGGGCAGCTGGCAGCTGGGGGTGATTTTTGGGTTTGGCAGAACGTGGAATGAGGACGGATGGAGGCGGCCGGGTGGTCACACGCAGCCCTCAGAATCCTGCCCCACGTGGGCCCTGCCTGCACCTGCCCTCGCACCCCCAGCCCAGCCCCAGGGGCCAAGACCAGGGAAGGAGGGGCCGTCCCTCCCTCCCGCTGATCCTGCACCCACAGGGAGAAGCAGCGCCCGGCCAGCTCCGCGGGGTGCGGCCTCCATGCGGACGGACGGCAGTCTGCTGGACACCAGGGGCCGGGCTTTCTGCAGAGGAGCCCTGTGCGGGACAGGACCTCCCGGCCTTCCCTGCACGTGCCTCCCCCTGCTCCCTGCTGGGGCCCTCCTGGGAGGCATTTCTGCCCCCCCTCCCCAGGGAGAGGGGCCCGCCCGGGGGAGGGGCTGCTACAATGCACCCTCTCCGAGCCTCAGCTCCCCACCGGGCCAGCCTCAAGGCCCTGGTCCACAGCCCAGAGGCAGGGCTCCAGGCCCGCCGGGAGACAGCCGTCTGCAGGCCACCTGTGCACGGGCAGGGCCTCCTCTGCCCCCCCTGAACTGCATGAGAGTGACCCTGTGCCGTGTCAGCCACTGCGTTTATGGCAATTTGTTCCAGCAGCAGAGAGAGGGGAAAAAGAACGCCCCAGCTCCAGCCTGGCTCTTCACCCGGGGGGGTCCCTTCCCCTCTGCACTGCCCTTCTCTGCCTGGTGAACTCCTACGCATCCTGCAGAACCCATTTCCATGGTCCCCCTTTGGGGACCCTGTCCCAGCAAGCCCGGGGGTAGGCCTGGCACCCCATCCCCGCGCTCAGCTGTGCTCCACACACGCCCCGGACTCCGTCCTCCCCTGTTTGGCGTGATGGTGACAATGCAATTTACAGCACCTCCAGCCGGGGCCCTGACCTCGGCCATCTGTCGTTTTAAATTAAATCCTGATTAAATAGACTCAAACCCTGAGAGCATGTGTGTCGGCACCTCTCTCACTCCCTGTCTGCTCTGAGGCCTGTTTAAATCGCACGCCGTCTCCATGGCGATGCTAGAGGCGCTGGCTGAGCACGCAGCCGGAGGGAAGCCGACGGGACACTCAAGGCCGCAGACTGAGGGGGGACGCGGACCTCCAGCCCCCGCCGAGCGGCCAGCTCGCGTCTGCGTCCGGCTCCGGGCGCGGGTGAGGCCAGGCCGCGGCGGGAGCCGTGGAGCCGGAGCGGAAACCAGCCCCATCGCCGGGCAGAGCCGCAGGGGAGCCAGCGCTGCGCTGCCGGGCAGCAGCCACTCCGTCCAAGCCTCTCTGAAGCCCCTCTTCCCGGGCCCACGCCAGCAAAGCGCACGGAACCTCATTTCCCCCCGAAGCCGCGGTGTGAGCGCCTGGCACGGTCAGCACCGCGGCCCTGACACAGCGCACCCGTGGGTGAAAGCCCGCTCCGCGCTGTCGGTCTCCGCCTGGGACCGGGGACGGGGCGCCCGGCAGCGAGCGTCCGGAGGCCCCGCGGGGCTGTGGCCGCCGAGGCTCCATTCGTAACGCCGGCCGCTGAGCTCCACGTGCTGGGGGAGAGAGAGAGCCCGCCGGGGGGGAGGGGGCATCCCAGCAGAGACCAGCGGCGTGTTCCACTTGGAAACCCTTCCAGAGAGTGGGGCCGGGGAGAGAGCCGTCCCCAGAGGAAGTGTGATGAGTAATGAACACGGGCTGTGCCCGCACCAGGCCGGGAGCCAGGGGAGCGGGTGAGAGCCGTCTGGCCCTGAGATCACTGTCCAGAGCGGTCGGGCCCCGCAGCCAGAGGCGGCGCTGCCCCAGCGAGGCCCGCTTTCCCCCTGAGAAGCCAACCGTCTGCGAGGGCCACCGTACAGCGGCTCCCAGGTGCTCGCCCTGGGGCAGGGAGAAGGCGAGCCACTTGCCTGCAGAGCTCAGCATGCGGAGGGGAGTGCCAGGGGCAGAGCCAGGTGCTCAGAGAGGGGAGGGCAGGCATTCTCCGACCCGGGGGAGAACACGGACACTGCGCTGGGTCTGACCACACGGGCCTGGCAGCAGCAAGAGATAAGCTGGCCCTGACCCGGGGGCTCAGGGGGCTGGAGCATCCTCCGTGCTCCAAAGGTTGTGGGTTCGATGCCTGGTCAGGGCAAGTGCGGGGTGCAAACTGTCAATATTGATGTTCCTCTCTCTCTCCCTTCCTCTCTCTAAAAATCAATAAAAACATCCTCGAGTGCGGATGAGAGGGAAAAGAAAGATAAACAGTCATTGCACCCAGTGGGGGGGGGGGGGGAGGTATTTTCTGGAAATGAGTGACGCTCCTGCCAGCGTTGCTAATAAAGGAGAGGAAGCGCCTGCGCACAGAGACTCGGAGAGAGAGGAACATGGGAAATTAGAATCTGTTGGTTTGCTCAGAGAAAAGCTAAATTTAGACGGTGCGCTGTTCCAGGGACATGCCATGTTCTCTCCCTGGGTCCTCACGGCCCCACGCAGGGTGTTTATCCCCTTCGTGGGGAAGGAGACTGAGGCTCTCGGGGGAGAAGGAGCCCCGCTAGGGTCAGGGTCAGGATCAGGGTCAGAGTCAGGCTCCCACAACCTGCTTCTGACGAATCCTGAGCCCATCAACAAGGAGTCCAGGTCCCCAGGCCACGCGCTGGCCCAGGTCAGTCCCCACCCCCTGCCTCCAGCTCCCCGAGAACCCGCAGCCAAGTCTAACCACACCCAACGCCGTCATGTAGGACAGGCCTCACCGGGAAGGACCGTCACATTCCGACAGCGTTCCAGGTCTGCTCACTCCCTGTCTCACCGTGAGGAGGAGCTGCCGGGCCCCGGCCCTCTGGATCCAAGGCCCCTCCGACGCCGGCAGCAGGAGTGGGGCGAAACGGGGCTCAGGATCCCCTCAGGGGGAGACAGGACGCAGGGTCTCTGTCCACTCTGCAGCCAGGGGACCCATCCTCGGACGCCCACCTCCAGGAGGGACCCCCATGCCGGCTGCCGGGGCTCCATGGTTGAACATGGACCTGAACCAGGTCAGGGTTCTATCCCGGTCAGGGCACAGGCCCGGGGTGTGGGCTCGAACCCCACTGGGGCGTGCAGGAGGCAGCCGATCCATGACTCTCCCTCATCACTGATGTTTCTATCGCTCCCCCTCTCTTCCTCTCTGAAATCAATAAAAAACACACCTTTTTTTTTTTAAAGGGGGGCCCCATCCCAGGCGATTCCCTGCCACCGAGCCTGGAACACAGCCTCACAGCGCGGCCAGGAGGACAGAGCGCGCTGGAGCCGTGGCGCTCACGCCGTGTCCATTCCCATCCCAACAACAAACCGCCTGACCCCCCACCCAGGGGCCCCCGGCCCCTCCTGGTGGGCGAGCTGCTTCAGGCTCAGTGACAACCACCGGGTCATAAATTCCTGACCCAGCGGAGCAGGCCCGGCTCCAGAAACCCCAGCAAGAACCTGCGTGCCAGGAGCCCTTGTGCTAATGGCCGAGCCAGAGCCGAAAGCCACCGGCTCCCAGGCCGGCGGCCGCGGTGCCATGTGTGGGTGTCAAACAGAAGAAGCAGTGAGTAGTCCTCAGGCGCCACGTCGTGGGAGCCAAGAAGGTTCCGTGAGGAAGGGGAGCGGTGTGGCCGTGGTGGACACAGTCCCTGCCCGGGGAACCCGTGACTCACGGGGGCTGGGCGCCTCGGGGAGCAGATGTAACTGAGGTGCTAGCCTCCCGGCCGTGCCCCTCAAGCCGCCTGCCGCTCGGCCCCCAGCCACGTGTCAGCACCTCCCGCCCGGTCTCCGTCTGCCCAGCCTTCCTGCTGAGCCGGGGAAGGAAGCCGTCGACACTGAGGCCAGCGGCGGGGCTGGACCCCAGGAGCTGCGCCCGGAGCTGAGCCAGGGAGCGGTACCCGCTCTGGGTTCCCACCAAGAACCCGGCCTCGGAGGGCGGGGCGCGGACACGGGGAGCACCGAGGAGCCAGCGCGCGGTTCCAGCTGCCGTCCCCCAGGCTGTGCGCCCTGCGGCCGCACCCCTCTGCTCCCCGCTCCCCCATTCGCCTTTTCCAGCGGAAGGCGGGCCGCCGGCCGCCCACACGCAGGCTGTACCCCTTTGAGACGCCAGGAGGAAGGACGCCCTCGGCTGACTTACCGCCACAGAGAACTTTCCAGCACCTTCTCCGCGTCGGCGTGGTAGTACTTGGTCAGGATCAGGATCACCTGTGGTGGCGACAGGAAGAGGCAGGAATCAGTGGGTGCCCAGTCCTCAGGGAAGGATGCAATGACCCCCCCCCCCAGGCTGGGGTCCCGGGTATCGGCTGCCCCCCCGCAGCCGGCACCCCAAGCTCGGCCGCCTGCACTGGGGACACAGACAGGCGCTGGTGCGGGCCCTGACCCCTCGCTCCTGCCCTCCGAATGGCATCCCGGTCCTATGAGCCGCCCAGTAACTGCCACTCAGCGGGAACAATTCACACCCAGCCCTGGACAACCTCCAGCTGAGGTCAAGGGCCCGCCAAGGGGTGGCCCCAGGGTGAGTACAGGAAGCCAGGGCTCGGCCCCCGGGCAGCTTGGAGAACCCCGGACACCGGCCGCTGCTCTGCAGGGGCTGCCCCAGGCCCAGCACAGGCCAGCAGGGGCCTCAGGACTCTCCCCGGAATGGCCGGTGCTGAGGGCAGAGCCCAAGACAGCAGGTTGGGGAGGGCAAGCCAGGCGGCCAGATGGCCAGGGCCAGGCCAACGGTCACCACACTCTGCACACATAACATACATGTGTGTGCACAAGCGCACAGAGCACATGCATGCACGTGCATGTGCGACGAGCACGCATGCAGCACACACATACACATGCACACACAAAGAGCACATGCATGAGTGCGCACGCCCATAAGGCATACACATGCACGCACACATGCACACAGCACGCACAGTGCACACACGGCACACACACACACACACTCACACACACACACACACACACACACACACACACACACTCTCTCTCTTCATTGTTAAAACCATTCCCCCGACCTGGGCCCTGCCTGGGCCTTGTCACCGCAGGCCTGTGCAGCGCGGCTGTTGACAGGAATGAAAACATGCGTGTTCGAGAGCACCCCGAGTTCTCCCAAACAGACACAGAGCAGCGAGGACAGGAGGATGCGCCTGGGAGGGGGGCCACAGCTGCCCCCGGTACCTGCCAGCCGCTGCATGGTCCTGCCCATCAAATCTCCTTTCACTACCGTCCCAGGGCCCCTCCCGTTGCCATGGGAACCCGGGAGGCACAGTGGGAGCATCCCTGGTCCCAGAGCAGCCTCAGCCTGGCTGATGTGGGTCACACGCCGCCACCGTGCGTGGCTCCGTCCCCAGAGCAGGGGTGTCTCCGCCCGGCGTGGCTGCCCGCGGGCTGGTGCCGAGAGGGGACTGGTGAGCGGGTGTCACCGAGGGGACAGCGATGATTAAAACCCCACTCCGCTGCGCGGGCCCTGCTGCTGGGAGCAGAGCGGGTCCCTCCGCCCGCCCCGCAGCCCAGGTCCGGGGGCCGGGTGCTCTGCAGACGGAGGCCAAGCCAGAGTGGCCGCTGGAGGGACCCGGGTCCTTCAGGAGTGAACCCTCACCCCGTGCTGGCCAGGCACCGCCTCAGGCTCCCTCCGCTGCACACTGGGCAGGGCTCCTCCCTCTGGGCACGGACTTCTGCCCCAAGGGCCTAGGTAATTCACCGAGCAGACCGCGCCCCTCCCGCTCCCCTGCGTGGCGCCCACTCTCCCCTCCCTCTAAGCTCCAGACCTCGCAAAGCTGCTCCTCACCTGGAACCCCGCCCCAACCACCCCCAACCCCCGATACTTCCCACTCCACTCTCAGACCTCAGTCTAACCGACACCGCCTCCAGGAAGCCTCCAAGACCCGCCCCTGGTTCCTGTCCCCTCCCCTCCCCCACCTGTCCCTGTCCCCCAGCGCACCCACTGACTCCCTGTCCCCAACTGACCCCCTGTCCCGCACTGACTCCCTGTCCCCCACTGACTCCCTGTCCCGCACTGACTCCCTGTCCCCCACTGACCCCCTGTCCCCCACTGACTCCCTGTCCCCCACTGACTCCCTGTCCCCCACTGACTCCCTGTCCCCCACTGACCCCCTGTCCCCCACTGACTCCCTGTCCCGCACTGACTCCCTGTCCCCCACTGACCCCCTGTCCCCCACTGACTCCCTGTCCCCCACTGACTCCCTGTCCCCCACTGACTCCCTGTCCCCCACTGACTCCCTGTCCCCCACTGACTCCGTCCCCCACTGACTCCCTGTCCCCCACTGACTCCCTGTCCCCCACCGACTCCCACCCCACTGACTCCCTGTCCCCCACTGACTCCGTCCCCCACTGACTCCCTGTCCCCCACTGACTCCCTGTCCCCCACCGACTCCCACCCCACTGACTCCCTGTCCCCCACCGACTCCCACCCCACTGACTCCCTGTCCCCCACTGACTCCGTCCCCCACTGACTCCCTGTCCCCCACTGACTCCCTGTCCCCCACTGACTCCCTGTCCCCCACTGACTCCCTGTCCCCCATTGACTCCCTGTCCCCCACTGACCCCCTGTCCCCCACTGACCCCCTGTCCCCCACTGACTCCCTGTCCCCCACTGACTCCCTGTCCCCCACTGACTCCCTGTCCCCCACTGACCCCCTGTCCCGCACTGACTCCCTGTCCCCCACTGACTCCCTGTCCCCCACTGACCCCCTGTCCCCCACTGACCCCCTGTCCCGCACTGACTCCCTGTCCCCCACTGACCCCCTGTCCCCCACTGACCCCCTGTCCCCCACTGACTCCCACCCCACTGACTCCCACCCCACTGACTCCCCGTCCCCCACTGACTCCCCGTCCCCCACTGACTCCCTGTCCCCCACTGACCCCCTGTCCCCCACTGACTCCCTGTCCCCCACTGACTCCCTGTCCCCCAGCACCCCACTGACTCCCTCCCCAGGTCCCACCACGGGAAATTCTAGGGCTCCCGCCCAGCCCTCCCTCCACCAGGCGCCCCTCAGGGCACGGACCGGGGGTAAAAGCAGAGTGAGGGCCGTCAAGCCGGCGGCCGCAGACGCCCTGGGACCGCCGGGGCTGTGGGAGCGGCCGCGCACAGGCGTCTGACGGGGAGAGCGCAGCTGTAACGGGGTGAGGGCCGGGCAAACAGCACCGCTCCTCCTGTCTCACAGCGGACCACGTTCTATTTCCCCCCGCCCCTCCAACAGCCACCGCAGCCGGTTACTGATGGAGCGGCAGGCCCTTCCCCGGGGAGGCGGCCTCATCGGAGCGGCTCCGGCAGTGACGGCGATGGACACGCTGACGGGTCCCCGCCACACGACAGGCAGCACCTCCTGGGACGGCTGATCCCGGTTTCAAACCAGAACCTGCCCCCCGGGGTCCAGGGCCCACAGCCTCCCCGCCCGTCTGCAGCCACAGAGCCACATGCTCGTGTCTCCCAGGAATTCCCTTTGGAAACGAGGCTGTGCCATCGGCACAGAGCGGCTGGGGACAGAGAGAGGCCGGTGAAGAGAGAGGGAGCCTGGGGAGGCCCAGGTGTGGGCCACAGCAGCCTGAGCCGCGTCCCTGGGCCAGACCGGCCGCCGGCACCCCGAAGGCCAGTCTCAGGGCTGCGGGTCGCATGCCGGCTCAGGTAGAGGTCTGAGGGGCCCACTGAGCTCAGGGTCACAGACCGATTCCTCGTCCCCTGAGCACCAGAGAAAAGGACGGGAAGTCCTGTCCCTGGTCTGGACCCACCCCTTAGCCATTTGGGGTGCAAGCCAACCTCCGGGGGGCGAGGCCTCGGGGCTTTCCTGGGCCACTTCCTCCATAAAAGTAATAACGGTGACAGCTTAGGGTTGCACTGGTAGAGGGAAGAACGTATTCCTATTGTATACCAAGTGGTTTCCTTGACCTAGAAATTTTTCTTCTCATCTTAAAAGAAACTAAAACATTTTTGTGGGGCCCTGAATGCCTTGTGGAGCCTGTGTCTGCCGGAGCCACGGACCCCACAGTCTCCCACAGCCCCCCGCCGCCCCCCACTCTGGATGGGCCTGCGGTCAGTCCCCCACACCCTCTGGCTCCTGGTCTCCAATGCAGGTCGGGACTCCCTCCCTCCCCCAGAGCAGTGGCTTTGACACTGTCCTGTAGGAGGCGCTGCTGAGAAGCTCAGGGTCACACAGGCCCTGCAGTGCAATCTGCGCCCTGTCAGGGTTTGCCGGCCGGTCTCTGGGCCAATAAGCCCTTCCCGTCCCCTGGGGGGGCGAGCAGAAAATCAGCTCCGCTCTCTCGGGGCCCTGACGGGTGTGGGCCTCTCAGGGGGCGCCTGGTCTCGGGGCCCCGCTGGGCCGTGGAGCCCCCAGGCTGGAGCGGCCGCCCGGGACCTCACTGTGCAGCTGGCGATGTCGCCCAGAGGCAGGAGGAGGACGGCGCTGCCCTCCCCGGAGCCAAAGCCACAGGAGTGTCCGCGCCCAGACCCTGCCTGGCAGTGAGGTCCGAGGACCACGCCCGCCACCCAGCACTCAGCTCCTGTCCCCGCCCGGACCCCCGCCAGCTCCTCCGGGCAGTGAGCCGGGCATCCACGGGGAGCTCACTCCCTCCCAAACGCGGTGACACTGGAGAGCGGCCAGCGACTCAGCTTCTGAGCAAGGCCCGCCCGGAGGACCCGCCCTGTGAAGCCGGCACCGGGAGCCGCCCTCCTCGCCCAGCGGGCCTGAGCACAGGGTCCGCAGCCTCTGAGCACAGGGACCAGCCTCTGAGCACAGGGACCGCAGCCCCGTGGGCCCTCACCTGGGCTGTCAGTCACACGGGCAGCCATGACCCTGCGGCCTGCAGATCCTGACCCCGAGGGAGCCTGTCCCCGTGACGCCTGCAGAGACGGCTCCCGGGCACGCTGGTGCCACGGCTGTGGAAGTGGCCTCGTCTAGAATACGCGGCGTGGGGCCTGTGATGGCAGGTGTCTGCCCCCCCACCCCCACCCCATCCCGCCCCGCGGGGCTGGGCAGCAGGAGGGCAGAAGGCAGCCACTGAGCGGGAGGGGCCGGGCCCAGAGAGGCGGACCGCCACAGCCGGGCCTTCAGTCTTGAGCACTGGCAGGAGGCGTTCTGGAATGACACCTGGCGGTTTCCAAAAGCACGTGTCCCCGCTGTCCCCCGGGTCCCCTCGGCACCGCGGCCTAGAGGAGCACAGGCGTCTGGGAGGCGTCTGCGTGAGCCCTG